ACGCTCAGTGGTGAATCAGGCAGAATGTCAGCTTGGGGCTTCCCACTGAGCGAAAGAAGAGTTTCGAAGGGGTGGACGGAGCTGGGGTAGGAATCTAGGAGAGGGCTCAAGGATGAGGCAGATGGGCAGCTTCCATCTGGAGGTCTGAACAGGGGCGGTAAACCTCTGCTGCAGGTAAGGGTCATGGAGAGGGCCCAGGTCTTTGCCAGAGCAGGGATGGATAGTGAAAGTCAGAGTTATGCTTGTCCTGGGGCCTCCTCAGGTGAGTTTTCAGCCCCCTGGAACGGGGGGCTCAGAGGGTGATTAAGGCTTGACCACAGAAAGCCTGGTGTTTGGATTAGCTGGTGTCTTGGGAGGAGACTGAGCCTTTAGGTGGTCCAGCTGTGGGGACAGGAGAGGCCGAGTCCAGAAGATGAAGTGGGAGCTGACACCACCCTCTCTTCATCAAGGAACAGTCTCCAGAGTCCCCAGTCCAACTGCTGCAAGGGTGAGCTAATTTGGCCTCCGCTCCCACCATACCAGTTTCCATGGATACATTTCAAGCCTCAGTCTGGTCATCTTCAAAAGCATCAAAGGCAGCAAACCCCATCCGTGCATAATCTTTTGTTATAGCCGCACAAATAGCTTTTGTAACAGCCCTTCCCCCATCCCTCCCACCCATCCTCCTAACCAAAAAAACTGGCTTAATTTGTGGCACAGTCATCCACTGACAGAAGCATTGGACTTTTTCTGGAAGTTTTGAAGACCTGAGTTTGAATTCCAGCCTTGTCATTTGTAAAATGCAAATAATAGCACCTAGGGCATAGAGGTGTAGGGATTAAATAAGATGAATGTATCTGAAAATGCCTAGCACATTGCCTAACTAAATGTTAGTTTCTTTCCTCTCTTTCTTTGTCAGTTGCGCCACTCAGAAATCAGGGTTCTCTGGTAGCACCCACAATCCTTGTACAGCATCCCCTTGTGTGTTTCATGCATTTGATACTGAATAAGCTGTCCTTGACATCAGTTCACTTCCCCTGATGGCTAACATCTGGTGCTTTGACTGGAGCCCCATGGTGGGGGTCTCTCAACCGTTCTCTTTACTGGCCCCCAAGTTTGGGAGGAACCGGTTATAGGGCCCTGAAGGTAAATGGGCCAGTGTCTTTCTCTCCCTTCTTGAGGCCAAGTCTTTGCTGGGAGCATGCAAAGGCACACAGAGGTGGGGGAAACTCCTTGCCTCCTGAGAGTCTGTTCCAGCAGATGGCTCTGCTGCAGTTCTACTTAGGAGGTTAATGGACACCAGATGTCTGGGCAGGCAAGCTTTCATTTTCTCCTGGAACCACTTAATTTGGCTGAACATCTGCCTTGGCTTCCGGGCTTTTCCGTCACCTGAGCTTCAACACTGGTTCAATCACCACCAGTGGACATCAGAGGAGCTTCCTTGCCCCTTTCCTTACTCAGGGTCTTGGGGTATACTAGCCTGATTTGTGAGAGGTAGAGGTGGTGGTCGAGAGGGGACAAGAGTGGTCCATGGTTGCCTCCTATCACTGTCCTTCATGTTTGGTCTGTTGTCACTGAGCCTTCCTGTTGGAAAACCAATTTTAATCCAAAAGAATGGTGTCTGCCTGATTAGAGAATATGTCTATCTGGACCAGCACTGGCTGGCTGTCAAGGGCAGGGAGGTGGGGGACAGTCTTTGGAAATGACTTGAAGGAGGTACCTCCATGCTCACCCCTCTTCCTGCTCCATGGCCTTCATTGATGCATTTCTAAACCATTGATGGCTGATGATCTCAGGGGGCAGTTGCGACTTGAATTGTGCTTTGAAAGTATCATTTTGTTGTTGGTATCACTGGTTTAAGCATTGGCATGTGTCAGAGTGACCTGAGGAGTTTAGTAAGGCACAGACTGCTGGACACCACCATGTCAGTAGGTCTGGGGTGGAGCCCAGGAATCTGCATTTGAAGCAAACATTACAGGTATTGATGATGCAGATAACTTTACACTATTCCAAGCAATGTGGTCTGGAACTCTGTCTTTTGGGGTTCTGGAATTTCTTCTGCTTTCTATTTCAGGGATGCACATACATATTCATGTTTGTTTGTTTGTTTTTCCCCTTCTTTGCCTGGGAAACTGCTTATCCAATAAGATCCAGATCAAAAATGGCTTCAACTGTGAGACCTTTTCTGAACACCCTTTTATTGGGCAGATTAACTTCCTCCTTTTCTTCCATAGCACTTTGCAGGTACTTTTATAGGACAGCACAACTAACATTAATCATGGGCTTTTATGTGCTCCTTGAGGGCAGGGAGCTCATCCTCTTCATCTTTCTATTTATCCTAGAACGTAGCATAATATCATGTCATAGGCACCAATAAATATTTACTGACTGAACACAATAATCCTTGTGGTAAATAGGGTCTTCTTAAAGTATATTCAAATAAGACAATTTTAGTTTTGATAATATAGCTTATTTATCTTAAAAACAACATATATTGTGACATTTAAAGGACAAATAATTTTCTTCTCATGGTTCATGGCTCTAATCCTCAAAGGACACAGTTTACTACCTTTCTGGCTAATGCTCTTTTTTCATCCAAGCACATAAATGATGCCTTGCATGTAACTGCCATATTATCAGCCCCTGCTTTAATCAGTTTGCTTTTATTTATTTATTATTAAAAAAATTTTTTTTAAGTAGGTTCTGTACCCAACGTGGGGCTTGAGCTCATGACCCCAAGATTAAGAGTTGCATGCTCTCCTGACTGAACCAGCCAGGCGCCCTAATCAGTTTGCTTTTAAATGCCATTTTCATGGTTACTAGCCAACCTGTAACCTATGTGGCATTTTGTAGTTCCTAAAGCCTTTTTTTGAAGCCTTGATTTTTTTCTTAAACATCTGTACTTTAATGTCTAGAGTAATATTGGCCTCCTACTTCTTTTTTGTCATAGTTCCTCTGTTTAATACCTCCAGCTGCTTTCTTTCTCAGTGGCAGGTTTCTAGTGGACAGGTATCACATGTTTGCAATTGTTTTTGGACAGGGCTTGGCACATCCAGTCATAATGAAACATATAGAGTGTTAGACACTTTATAAAACACTTTCTCATCAGCCATGCTTTGCGGTGGAAATACTATTATTTCCCCTTGAGGGTCTCACCAGCTAGTAAAAGACATAGCCAAAATTTGAAGGCAATTTTACTCCCTTCTAGATTCCATGCTTTCAAAAATAATCATTGCAGCAATACTTATAATAACAAACAAAGGCACAACCTATGTAATGTCCAACAGGAAGAGAATAGCTAAGTGTTGGATGGCATCTTAGTCTGCTCAGGCTACTCTAACAAAATACCGTGGATTGGGTGACTTAAAAACCAGACATTTATTTCTCACCGTTCCAAAGGCTGGGAAGTCCAAGATAAGGGTGCCAGCATGGTCAGGTTCTCAGTGAGGGCTCTCTTCCTGGCTTGCAGATGACTGCCTTCTTGCTCTATCATCACATGGTGGGGAGAGAGAGAAAGAGAGGGAAAGAGAGAGTGTGCACGCAGGCAAGTGGGCATCAGAGCTCTGGTCTCTTACTTTTTTCACAAGGACACTAATCCTCTCCTGGGGGCCCCACCTCATCATGACCTTATCTGAATCTGATTACCTCCCAAAGGCCCCACCTCCAAATACTAGCACATTGAGGGTTAGGGCTTCAACAAAGGAGCATGGGGGCAGACACATGCATTTAGTTCCTAACAGATGGTCACAGCCATTTGATGGAATATTACTCAGTCCTTAGAAACAAGGCCTCTGAAGGCAATATAGCAACATGTAGACGTTTTTATTGTCATGACAATGATGTGAAATGAGCAAGAGAAGAAACATGGGAAAATGAATGCCACTCAGTTGTTGGTGGGGGTGAAATGCCGTGATTTTTTCTTTTTTAAAAATTTCAGTCAGTGTTGCTAGAACATCGGTGTTGGAAAACAAAAACACAACACGGAGAACACCCTCCCCATCCGCCACCTTTGCCACTACGTATTTGCACTTTATTAATGCTTCTGAGGTGCTGATGAAGTGATAACAACTTTCAGCTCCCAGAGAGTAAGTGTGTGTGCATGAGTCACAGGAGTGTGGTCTGACGCAGATGATTAAGCCTGTGGCAAATGCAGAATTAAGTAACTCTGATAACAGAGCCCTGGAGCATCCTTCTTGGAGATTAAACCTTTCAGGCTTTTAGCAGCTGAGAGGTGCTGGGGATCAGAGATAGCAGGCTTAGAAAGGAAAAGAAGGGGGGCACATATTAGATGGGGATGGGAAGGAAAATGCATCCCATTCAGGTTAGTGCTCTTTTCTGAAATTGGCTGTCGCCTGGAGTTTCGGTGGAAAGCGTACCATTATCTGGGGAGAGGGCAGTGTGTCTGCCTGCTTCCTGTCCTTCTCTTGCTTGCCTTCCTACAGGCTGGAGTTTGGTTTTGTGTGCTGGCCTATTCTACCAGCTTGTTTGTGTGTGAGTTTTCATCCTCACTTGCTGACTGATCCTGTTTTACATTTGAATGACCTTCAAAATGTAAGGGCGGTTTTAGGCCTTTCTGAGAAGAGGAGGGACTGGCTTCTTTTCTTCCCTTTCCTTGCACCTATTCATTCAATACATATGTAGTTTGCCCCTTTCTCGTGCTGGCCACAATGCTAGGTGCTGGGAATAGATAGAGATACGGTCTTTACCTTCATGGAACTTAAAATTAAATATTGGTTATTCAGGACTGGCTACACACTTTGCGGGGCCCGGTACAAAATGAACATGCAAGGCCCCTTATTTGAAAATTATTACGAATTTCCAGACAGCGCTGGCAGAGCACCAAACCAAGCACCCTCCTGAGCGCTGGGCACTAGGTAGCTTGTATGTATGCAGTTTGTGTATCCAGGAAGCTGGCCCTGAAGTTGTTTCTTGCAAGCACATCGCATAAGAAGAGGGATTTAGGGCCGCAGCCCTACACGCCGTGCGGTCCCCCAGTCTCCCGCGGCCCCCTCCCCCAGGATTGGCACAGGGCCTCTCCTCACTATGGCAGCAGCACGGCACGGCACGCTCGACTTGAAGCTCGGCGCCAAAGCTGATGGCGAGACCATTCTAAAAGGCCTCCGGTCCATTTTCCAGGAGCAAGGGATGACGGAGTGGGTGCACGACTGGCAAGACCACGGTTATCTAGCGACCTACATCAACAAAAACGGCAGCTTTGCCAGTTTGAGAATTTACCCACATGGATTGGTTTTGTTGGATCTTCAGAGTTATGACGGTGATTCGCAAGGCCAAGAAGTTGACAGTCTTTTGAACAAAGTAGAAGAAAGAATGAAAGAATTGAGTCAGGACGGTGCTGTGCGGGTGAAGTGATTACCATCCATAATTCGGGAGGAGCTATCGACAGATACTGGCCCACTGCTGATGGTCGCCTGGTTGAGTATGACATAGATGAAGTGGTGTATGATGAAGATTCACCTTATCAGAACATTAAAATTCTACACTCGAAGCAATTTGGAAATATTCTCATCCTTAGTGGGGATGTTAATCTGGCAGAGAGTGATTTGGCGTATACCCAGGCCATCATGGGCAGTGGAAAAGAAGACTACAGTGGCAAAGACGTGCTGATTCTTGGGGGTGGAGACGGGGGCATATTATGTGAAATAGTCAAACTGAAACCAAAGATGGTCACTATGGTAGAGATTGACCAAATGGTGATTGATGGATGTAAGAAATACATGTGGAAAACATGTGGCAACGTCTTAGACAATCTTAAAGGAGACTGCTATCAGGTTCTAATAGAAGACTGTATTCCAGTACTGAAGAGGTATGCCAAAGAAGGGAGAGAGTTTGATTATGTGATTAATGATTTGACAGCCATTCCAATCTCCACCTCTCCAGAAGAAGATTCCACAAGGGAGTTTCTCAGACTGATTCTTGACCTCTCAGTGAAAGTACTGAAACAGGATGGGAAATACTTTACACAGGGTAACTGTGTCAGTTTGACAGAAGCCTTGTCGCTCTATGAAGAACAGCTCGGGCGCCTGTATTGTCCTGTGGAATTCTCAAAGGAGATCGTCTGTGTTCCTTCACACTTGGAACTGTGGGTATTTTACACTGTTTGGAAGAAAGCTAAACCTTGAAGACCAATCTCTCCTAATCATGTATGCTGCAAATAGCCTTCCTGACCTTCATATGCTGTACATGACATCGAAATGAGTCAGGCAGTTGATTGTGATTTCCTTCAAGTTTTCTTTTTTTAATTATTATTTTTAATTTAAACAAAGCAAATGGAAACTGTATGTTTTGATGCGCTAGGGTGTTAATTTTTTTGAAAGTCAGCTGAAGGATGATTAGACAGCACAGCGAAGGCTGCTAAATGCACTGAACCCCTAGAATGTGATTTTTGTTACTTTTTGTGTGTGTGCGTGGGGGGGCTTTTTGTTTTTGTCTTGGTAGACTTCGAATTTGGTTGTTTGGAGGAATGAACATCATTGTTTTGTTCTGGAGGGAAGTTCTTTGATGGTGTTTCTTTCCCCCCAAATTGACTTAGCTATTAAAATTTGGTGCTTATAAGAAAGAGTTAAGAAAAAAATGAATAGCAATGCTTCGATTAAAATTATAAATGGGGGAAAAAAAAAAAAGAAGAGGGATTTATTCCTTCTTTATTGGCCCAGTCTTCCTTATCACTGTGTGCAGAAATCGAGCAGCCTCAGAAGAAGTGTTACCTTTGACTCAGTGGGCCTGCATAGAGAGACAGTAGAACACAGATAAAAGTGTAAATATATATATTTTAAAGATTTTATGTATTTATTTGACAGAGAGAGAGACAGCGAAAGAGGGAATACAAGCAGGGAGAGGGGGAGAAGCAGGCCTCCCGCCGAGCAGAGAGCCTGATGCAGGGATTGATCCCAGGATCCTGGGATCATGACCCGAGCTGAAAGCAGATGCTTAACGACTGAGCCACCCAGGCGCCCCGTCAGTGTAAATATTAAATACCTTTTCGTTGTTTGACACATGCAACTAGGCCACATGGACATCCATAGAACGTTCAACTTCTCTGAAAATATCTGGCCATAATCAAATATATGATAAAGGAAATCTTTACCATCCAAAGTTTTGTCCTTGGAAGCAAATACATAGGCAGTGATCAGTCTAATTACTCTGGGCCTGAAGGGTTTTTTTTGTTGTTTGCTTTCTTGATTTTTGAGAATAGTTTTCTTTTTCTTTTTTTTCCCCCAAAGATGTTATTACCAAAGATAGTGTATTTTATGTAAATTTACCAGAAAGCAACTGTTCAGTAAATAACAAGATTATACCAGTTTACTGGTAAGTGTACTTAATCCCTGAGCAATAGGTTTTGGTAGAATGCCCGTTTAGTGTGGTGATGCAGAGGAGGGAGTTTACCTGTTTCTAGCAACAGCCACCTAGCAGAAGGTAGTAATAGAACTAACAGTACCTACAAGAGGGTAGTTTCACATCTCTCAAAGTGTCCTCTAGAATATTGATTTTAAGGGAGAGATTCTACCTAAATTGGTTAATTTGATTCTGTTCTCTCTTGAAGATTTACCATTCATGTGACAGTCCCATGGCAGCGAAGAAGCCGTTAACACTTTCTTTCTTTTTTTTTTTTTTTAAAGATTTTATTTATTTGATAGAGAGAGACACAGTGAGAGAGGGAACACAAGCAGGGGGAGTGGGAGAGGGAGAAGCAGGCTTCCCACTGAGCAGGGAGCCCGATGCGGGGCTTGATCCCAGGACCCTGGGATCATGACCTGAGCCGAAGGCAGACGCTTAACCGACTGAGCCACCCAGGCGCCCCAGAAGCCGTTAACACTTTCAACACAACATTATGTGATTGTGACACTTGTTTTATTTTTTTTATTATTTAATTAATTTATTTATTTATTTATTTATTTAAAAGATTTTATTTATTTGAGAGAGAGAGAATGAGAGAGAGCAAGCACATGAGAGGGGGGAGGGTCAGAGGGAGAAGCAGGCTCCTCGCCGAGCAGGGAGCCTGATGCAGGACTCGATCCAGGGACTCCAGGATCATGACCTGAGCCGAAGGCAGTCGCTTAACCAACTGAGCCACCCAGGCGCCCGTGACACCTGTTTTAAAGAGTAATAACTAGTAACTATATCTCTATCCGTGGACATCTATATAGTTATATAGATAATATATGTATAACTCTAGCAGTCTATGTATAAAACGGATTCTGAAGACTATGCTGTGGGAGACATTGGTGATACACTTATAGACTTTTTTTTTTTTTAAAGATTTTATTTATTTATTTGACAGAGAGATAGAGAGAGAGCACAAGTAGGCAGAGAGGCAGGCAGAGGGAGAGGGAGAAGCAGACTCTCCACTGAGCAGGGAGCCCGATCCCAGGACCCTGGGATCATGACCTGAGCCGAAAGCAGCCGCTTAACCGACTGAGCCACCCAGGTGCCCCACTTACAGACTTTCAAGATGCGTGGTCTGGGGTCACGGGATCTAGGTTTGAGACCCACTCACAACCATAAACAAGTTACAAGGCCTTTCAGAGATTGTTTCCCCGCCCGTTAAGTAAGAATACCTGCATCACACAATCGTATAGATTAAATGAGACACTAGGTCTGAACATTTTGTAAACTGTTCAGTTGTCCTGCAAAACACTTCATGGTTACTGAAATGATATTGAAATAAATAGGAACTATTGTCTTATCTGCGAGTGAGTAAACTGAGGCCTAGAGAGGTTAAGAAGGGTATCTGGAGTTCAGAGCCACAAAATGGCAAAGACAGTCTCCTCAAGATATATTTTAAACCAGCTCTGCTTGTAGATTTTAGTTTAGAAAACAGGCTACCTCTTTGCCCGATGAAGCAGCCAGCGGCGGATGTTGGCATCAAAAGCCTAACTTTTCCTTCCAGCTTTGACATCTGATGTTAGCAGAATGATGAATTCAGAGGTGACAGATTTCAAGAGGATTTGTCTCCTTTGCAGGCCAGCACACCCTGTTATCTATATGAATCTCTTCTTCTTTTTTTAAAAAAGATTTTATTTATTTATTTGACAGAGAGAGAGAGCACAAGCAGGAGGAGCGGGGGAGGGAGAAGCAGGCTCTTCGCTGAGCAGGGAGCCCAATGTGGAGCCCAATCCCAGGACCCCAGGATCATGACCTGAGCGAAGGCAGACGCTTAACCAACTGAGCCGCCCAGGCGCCCCTATGAATCTCTTCTTCACTGAAAACCAGCAGTGAGGGCGATTTAAAAGAGGAGGTAGCTTTTCCTGTCAGGAATGACGGGGGCTTGGTGTGTGTGATTTATTGAAGGTGTGCCCTTCAGGAAAAACCTGTAAGGGGAGAGGGCCTCAGGAGAGGGTAGAGGGAGGAGCTGAGGGGGAAGAGGCCTTAAGTCTAGCCTTGGCTTGATTCCTTGGGGGCTCCAGAATTAGTCATATTACTGACTTGTTTCCTGGATGAGATGGGGCGGCCAGACTTTTGCACCCCCATGTCAGTCACAGGTCTCAGGCTGTCAGGGCTGGAATGGAATGTAAATCAGTGATGGGTTGGAACTGACTCCTAAGGGCTCACTGGAGCAGACTGTCGGATTTTTAGGCATTTTGTGAGCCACTATTAAAATGAAATTATATAAACATATAATTAAATAAACAATATTAAAAACGATAGTAATAGTAATAGATGTTCAAAACTCCTCACTTCCTAATTATTTTACTACAGTTTTCTTGTGGTGCTCTTGTGGTTCTTTTTGCCTGCTAATACCTTTTTGGTGGAAATACCGTGGGACAAAGGGCTGTTGTCTGTCACCTCACAACTCCACAGTCAGTGATGTCATGTTGGTGGCTTGGTGGGAGTGTTTACACCAGGGAAAGTGGCACTCAAACCAGGGCTCCCTCCTCCCCCGCTACCAGAGAGCTGGTGGTTAAACATTGGCTAGCATAGCACAGGGTGTAACCTCCTGGGGGAGGCAGCTTCCCCGCGCTGGGCAGGCAGGGTGGGAGCTGTCCAGGGGAGGGGACAGCTGGAAGCCACTGGCAGCCCACACAGCAGCTGAATGGTAGTGCAGGCATGGCCTGGGAAAGGGGAGCTGATGGGGCACCAACAGTGTCTGCTGTACTGTGGATGTCATTTGACGCTTTCTCCACGTCCTGACTTGTAGCACCCTCTCTTCTGTTTTTGGAAGTTTCCACGGAGAGGAAGGAACAATGGACTGTTAAGTCTGGAGTCTGCATTCTGGTCTTGGCTTTGCCAGTACCTTGCTGTGTGATTTTGGGAGAGCTATTTGACATGTCTTTCCTCGCCCATGAAAAGAGGGATCGGACGATCTCTGGGAGGCTTCTAGCTCTGCACAGACTCAGACTATGTGATGCTCTTAGGCACTCCAGCCTGAGTGGGAGCATTACTGGACCACGACTTGTGTATTACCTACAGGACGAAACACACAAGTTTCCTCTCTGATCCCCAGGCTTAGAGGGCCAACAATAAAAAACAGGTAACATTTATTGAACACTCAGCATTTTAGGCCTTAGCTGCTCTCATCCATGTATCAATCCTGTGAGGTAGGGTTGGTTTGTTCTTTCTCTCTTTTTTTTTAAAGATTTTATTTATTTGACAGAGAGAGACACAGCGAGAGAGGGAACACAAGCAGGGGAAGTGGGGGAGGGAGAAGCAGGCTTCCCGCGGAGCAGGGAGCCCGATGTGGGACTCCATCCCAGGACCCTGGGATCATGACCTGAGCTGAAGGCAGTCGCTCAACCAACTGAGCCACCCAGGCGCCCATGTTCTTTCTCTTTTACAGATAAGAAAACTGAGGCCCAGAAATATTCAGTAACTTGCCCAGTCACACAGCCAGCATGTGGCCAAATTGGGATTCCAGCCCCAGTCTGCTTAATTCCAGAGCCTGTGCTTTCAACCATTTCCCATTTTCCCTTATTGGAAAAGAATTTGCGAGAGGCTCGCGCTGCATCAGGGTCCCCATTTGGGTTCCATTCCTCCTCCACCTACTCTCTACCTTTCTCGTTCTGGGCACTCTTCTGGGTAGAATGGATTGGAAGCCTTTTTGCAGCTCAGGCCTTTGTAACTGTGGAATAAGCCAGTGAAGGAGGAAGGCCAGGAGGGCAGAGGCCAGCTGTGCACTTAGCTGTTTGTCTGGGATGCACAGTGATGGGCGGGAGGGGCAAAGGAGTCTGGTAACGAGTGTCTCCCGGTGATACCTCCCAAGGGTGCTGCAGGTGCTGTGCTGCTGTCTGGGGCTGTTGGGGCCCTCAGAGCACAGCCAGGAGATGGGGGATTTGTCCTTGGGTTTAGTGACAGGTTGGATCACCTTTGCCCTGAAGGCCCTGCTGCTCTTCGTGGTGTCTGGGTCTGGGGCCAGGTGTGGAGGGACCACAGCTCACACTGACTCCTTGCTACTGGGAAGCCCATGAAGTGCAGCTTAGCCCCAGGCCAAGGGGAGACTTTCTGTGCAGACCAAAGAGCCTTATTTCTCGCTGCTTCAATCAGCCTCCCATGCCTACTCCAGTGTAACAGAGATCTGAGTCTTACCTCCCCAGTGTCTGGCCCAGAACCCCATCTTGGTGATTAAAATCTCCTCGTGTAT